CGTTTGTTCTAATAGGACAAATGAAGCACATGTACTGAACAAACACGAAGCATGCAAAACGTTGCTTCACACGAGCATACCACCCGCACTACCCCTTGCTGCATGAAGAAATCACACACAATCATACCCGCACTATGGCCCTCGCCGCCACCCTCCCCACCAAATACGCACACACCCTGATTATATCATACCCACTCACCATACATCAAAGAAATACGAACCCATCAAAACCACTATGATACTCTTAATATATAATATACATACCACCACTGCAAACAACATCTACAACAAGGTAAACTTGCAATGCTCGACGCTCGCTCCCCCTCCCATGTTCACCTCTCCGCAATACTACAACATACTCTGCCTTCCTCGCCTACGCTCGCGTGTCGAGCAAGCACTAGGTCGCTCGCAGACCTACAGCGCCATCGCTAACACTCTCTAATCCCCTCCTGCCATCGTTGCGCTCCATTGCATTCTACGAGTGGCCTAACACAAAGAGGGAGAAGGACGTCCGTTGAAGAGATGTCGTCTTCACAAGCATTCCACTCACAGTATGGGTTCACTCTAATATAGCCCTAACCTTCCCCAAGCCCCCTCTTCCCTCACCTCGCCCTAACCTCCTTGACCTACAAACTAACGTGGAACTACATCCCTCTGACGAACTGCTATGGGTGCTAAGCGACGAAAAACGCCCTTCAGGGCGTGCACCCGCCCTATGGCTGTCGTCAACAACCATCGCTAACCTTAATTACTGACTCTAATTACTAAAATGCTCCCCCATAATCTAAATCGCAAACCCCTCTTGCATCCTCACAAATGAGTTGATGGTTAAAACACCCACTATGTTTAAACTGCTATGAACCTGTCGGGATATGACATATGTGATGTTCTTGTTTTTCGTATATACGGGGTGGCCGTGTTTACACACACCCAGTACACACATACCCGGATGATCTATCCAGTTGCCAAGCTAGGGTCGACTCTCTCGCTGACAAGACAACCCATATCTGCGCTATATCCACGATCTGTAACTCCTCGCAATGAAACATACTAATGCTTCCCCATCACCACTACCACCACATACTCCCCCACATTATCCACCCCCCTTCTTAGTTCAATCCTCCAACAGGCACACCATTATCATGTGCATACCTCAATCATTCCCCTACTACGCATATACCATCACGAGTAATCGCTATACATTCATATATAATCCCAGTGCTTTCCAGACATCCTAGATGTGAGTGACTACGCTGCTGCGCAAATATAACATCGTTGCACGTCGCAAATGCAACATCGCACGCTTCTATGATAACCTTACAGTTAAAGAAACACTTCAAAAAAAATGCGCATTAACTCCCCTTCGTCTATACTATAAGTAAGTTCACCAATTGGTTCTAGCAATCGATTGACCTTCAACAAACGATTTCTTTGAGAAGAAACGCTTGATGTGTACGCATTCCCCAACCCCCCCATGATAATACTACGATGAACCATCCCTTGCCTAAAAGCATTTCTTCCTACAGCTCCAACCCAACCACCACGCACAAGATAGCATTATACGTTACTAGATTGATGATATAGACGTTGTCAAGTTACAGTTAACCGTTCGTTTTTTCGGATCGTTGTTCTCTGATAGCAAGCATGCTATAATTAGATATATGTTATGACAATAAATATATAAGAAAGTTAACCCTTCGGGGACAAAGTTAACCCTGGCGCCGATAAAAAGGTTTATATATATAATATATATATATATATATATATATATATATATATATATATATATATATATATATATATATATATATATATATATATATATATATANTATATATATATATATATATATATATATATATATATATATATATATATATATATATATATATATATATATATATATATATATATATATATATCCTATACAACATTTTAAATATTACAATCTATTGTGTTGCATCGTTATGTCAGATTCACCCCTGTTTTTTTTACTAAGTAATAGGACATAGCACTTTTTGCACTGGCTGGTTAGTATCAAGCTCAAATTGAGTCTTTTTTTTTCAGTATTCGAAACAATCTAGTGAGTTTCATCGTCCTTTTCAGTTTCGCCTGTTGCTATACTTTGTCTTTGCTTGGATTGGTAGCAATGCACTAGGAATAAGATATAACACTCTGCACTAGCTGTTTCTTTAGTGATTCCACAAAATGAATCGATTAACTTGGACTGAGTTTCGTTAATCAATTTTTTCGCAACAAGAATATTATCGAAAGTACCGACCGAAATATGCACACTGACTGCAGCACATTAAGATATAACTGTCATACGGACAAGATCTCTCAATCTAGCTGTTTGAGAATCAATCACATACTAAATATAACCATGCTTTAACTAGTACATTCCAGAGGATTCAATAGATTAAGTACTACTACCCCTTACGCGTCATACCGAATGTTTTTTTCACCCACACTACAATACAACATAAATACTAGCGTAGACCCGCAAATATCATAACATGCGCACTAGAAACTGGTAAGCGACCTTCCAGAACACTTTGCCCCTAGCGAAGGCCACAATGATGCCAAAAGAGATATATTAACATTCTCTTTCCGTTAGCTGAAAAGATTGACTGACGCATTTACCACAGAAAATCTGTGCGAACTTTCTCCTACCCTAGCCACCCCGGTTTCTATACCACATAAAAATGTACCCTCCGCTGCTTCTGATAGGATCGACTGCTTTGTCTGATCATCGCTAGTGTTTACCTTTGAGTACTTGAGACTTAGATACCATAAAGAATAAGATAGCTAAGTTAACAAAAGCATCACATCCTGGGTTGGTACTTTAATGTATCAACATAAAAGACACTATATGTAGGTCGTACATAGGAACGGTTTTTCCTTCTAGTATCCCTCATAAAGATAACGAGATACGATGATCGTCTTACTCGTACTAGTCTTTTTATACAACAATCTGTCCCTTGTTATTATACACATATTGGCATGCCTTCACTTCGGGACTCTTGTCCGGCACGATTGATCAAGTGCCCTGCCTAGCCTCCTCGTTGATTAGCTACGCAAACAAACAAATAATATTAATATACATATATATATATAAAAACAAAAGATAGACGATGTAGATATTGAAACAGTGGCTTTATGCTAACCAATTCTTGCATGCCCTAAACTATGTATGCCTGCCCTAACGAAATCTATTTAGTTCATCCCTCATCTGTGCACCCGACTTTTCGTAAAATGTATATAGGTGTTTCTACAGTCATGTACAATTCTTTCTTCCAAAAAAAACAACCTCGGATTAAAATTGCCATATAATTAATGCTAAGTCCCTCGTTAACCTTATGCTACCCTATCAAAGCTTTGTGCACCCAAACTCTTACACTAGGCCCTTGCCAATCAATCAATCGTTGAATCAATCGATCAATCAATCAACGAAATGTTTGTCTGTCGTCGTTCATAATTACTGCTTCTTCCACACACGGATTACGTACTTTTAGGTACCCGATTCTGAACCTCAGACTAGGCTTTTAGGCGCTCCCTCCTTGTCTCCTGTTGGCTCGCTGTTACTGATCGGCCACCGATTTTTTTACCGCTGCAATTCGTTAAGGTCTCCAACCTAAATAATTATGTATGTACAACTTAACGTTTTATACACATATATCCCTACCACCTGATACGCGCAAAAAAAACATTCAGCCTGCAACCCTCAGACACATTTTTCCTTCCAATGAGACTCCATCAAAGCGATCCAGCCGCTAATCTCAACTACGCGCTAAAATATAATGATGCACAAAAGATAAATAAAACTAACTACCACCCCGATGATGATAATTGAATAATAGTCATGCACTCGACGAACCACAACTGTTCCTTATCCAATAGGACGCATATACACGCATTTAGAATTCGGCTTCTTATGTCTTCCAACACAAGCCCTTGTTTTGAAGACAAATGTGAGAATTTCTGTGTAATAGAACAACAAATAATAATTTCCTCTAATTAATGACGCTATAATTCATTATCGTCCATGCAACCCCATGATTCACGAATTTCTAACCCAGAAGTGATCAGCCCACACAGCTGATACTTCCCATACCCCCTACAACTCGTAACCTTAAACGAACAAACCACACAAAAAACACAAACAAATGATAACATCATCGGAACACAAGCAAACTTCTTAAACACCACATAACTATCACAAACCCGCAGGCTGGACACTACATCACAAATGACAAAAGAAAAGAACTTAACTTCCCCATCACTCGCTTCATCCAAGCTAATTCCAACAGTCCACTCCAGCAATCACTCAACATCCTGATACCTCAGATCATCATAATCATGGTCATCGAAACGGAACCCGACCATGCTGCAGATGAGATAAGACTAACAATTCAAACACTTCAGAATAACGACTTCAGAAAAAATAGACTGCTCGACGTTGTGAACAAGGTTATGAATAACCCCTTCAACTACCAACCTTTTCGATGCAACCCAGAAACGGTACTACAACACCTAAAACATCACCACGTCAAAAATTAAAATAAAAAATGAAGAATGCAGAACTAGAAATGTACACTAAAAAGAGAGCAAACATACACTCACTGCCATTTCGTCAAAATGGACATCTTTTATTTTCTGAATGAAATTGAAACTAAGTTTTTTTGCAGAAAACTCGTCAAAAATTGTTGTTCCTGAGGGTCCAGCGTTTTACAAACGCTGGACCCCCAAGCTGTACATGGACCTAGCTTGAGACCAGGTACCTCCAGGCAGTCCTGCCTGGAGGTGTTTGGTCTCAAGCTAGGTCCATGTACAGCTAGGGGGTCCAACGTTTGCAAAACGCTGGACCCAACGCTGGACCCTCAGGAACATCAAATTTTGACGAGTTTTCGGAAAAAAAACTCAGTTTCAATTTCTTTCAAAAAATAAAAAATATCCATCTTGACGAAATGGTCGTTCACTACCCGATCATAAAAAGTAACAAATATTATGTGTGCATGTAAGCCAACAAAACTGGCTTAGTTCGGATGGAGGACCTATCCCTGCTGGGGTAGGTCCACTATCATAGCATCTATCCCGTCGGGACCTCCATCACGAGGGTACGGGGAGGGACACACACACACACACACACATTCCAACAAAACTTTACCTCTTAAATGTTATAAGTAACAATAATAACTAGGCTACCAGCCGGGCCGCCCGGGTCCCGGTGGCCAGCCTGTGCAAGGACCAGGGAAGGTCCCAGCAAAAAAAAAAAAAAAAAAAAAAATCCGAAAAAAACTATGTTATGCAGAAAAATAAACTGAACAACTTTTGCCTCAGGGCACATCGAAATTCTGCACCAAATTTAGAAACAAAAATAAATTTTAAAAATAATTTTTTTATTTTTATTTTTTTTATTACCTATGGCCCGGGCGGGCAAGTGACCCCGGGCCACTCTGGTAGCCTAGAATAATAATAAATAAACTTATAATTTTTAATAATAATAAAAACATAAAAAGCAAGCAACCCTTACATTGATAATTAGAGTAAAAAGTCACATAATAGAGAAATAAAATAATAAATATGAAAGCTAAAAAATAAATAAATGATAGTCAATAATTAATAATAAGAAATAAGAAATAATAAGTAATATAAAAATAAATCAATAATGAAATAAAACTTAAAAAAAAAAAAACAAAAAAAAACTAATCAATTAAATAATAATAAAAACAAAATTAAAATTATTTACGGCACACACCCCCCCCAGATATAAGCTCCCCATAAAATTCAACAATGTTTATTTAAAAATGTCTACAGAAAAATAGCTGAAAAACTTTTTAACCACACACGCATCACATCGAATGCACACCTACGCCACCTACAACTAAACTAACACCCACAACACATAAATAAGCATACGCAAAATAAGCCAGATACCGGTTATGAGACAATTGTTTTTCAAAAAAACAACAACAAAACTCTAACAACACTAGCACTCACTCCATCACATACACAAAAAGAAGTAACCTTTAAAAAAAACAAATATCCCACGCGGGCCCAAACCAAAATGACACCCGTGCCAAACAAAACGAGTAAACCACACACATCACCAAACCCAAAGGACGCCACTGACTCCACACTCGACAATGACAGAAGCAACATGTCGAACAAATCCCAACCCACCAACGACCATGCACACACGCCATAGCCATTTCAAAACTCCAAAACGACAAGAGAACACAAAAACTAAACAACACTTGTTTTCTAATAGGACAAACAAAGCACATGTACTGAAAAAACACGAAGCATGCAAAACGTTGCTTCACATAGGCATACCACCCGCACTACCCCTTCCTGCATGAAGAAATCACACACAATCACCACAACCCCCCTCGGATTTACTATAGCTATGGCCCTCGCCGCCACCCTCCCCACCAAATACGCACAAACCCTGATTATATCATACCCACTCACCATACATCAAAGAAATACGAACCCATTAAAACCACTATGATACTCTTAATATATAATATACATACTACCACTGCAAACATCAACTACAACAAGGTAAACTTGCAATGCTCGACGCTCGCTCCCCCTCCCATGTTCACCTCTCCGCAATACTACAACATACTCTGCCTTCCTCGCCTATGCTCGTGTGTCGAGCAAGCACGAGCGACGTAATGCTCGCAGACCTACAGCGCCATCGCTAACACTCTCTAATCCCCTCCTGCCATCGTTGCGCTCCATTGCATTCTACGAGTGACCTAACACAAAGAGGGAGAATGACGTCCGTTGAAGAGATGTCGTCTTCACAGGCATTCCACTCACAGGTATGGGTTCACTCGAACATAGCCCTAACCTTCCCCAACCCCCCTCTTCCCTCACCTCACCCTAACCTCCCTGACCTACAAACTAACGTGGAACTACATCCCTCTAACGAGCTGCTATGGGTGCTAAGCGGCGAAAAGCATGGTTCAGGGCATGCACCCGCCCTATGGCTGTCCTCAACAGCCGTAATCTAAATCACAAACCCCTCTTGCATCCTCACAAATGAGTTCATGGCTAAAACACCCACTATGTTTAAACTGCTACTAACGTGTCGCGATATGACAAATGTGATGTTCTTGTTTCCTGTATATATCGGGTGGCAGTGTTTACACAAACCCACTACACACACACACACACACACACACACACACACACACACACACACACACACACACACACACACACACACACACATACACACACACACATACACACAAACTGCCATTTCGTTAAAACTGATAATTTTTTCTAGATTCACGAAATTGAGCGTACAAAAAAACAACATTTTTTAGTGTTTTTTTGTGCCCATGACATCGGATGATCAGATCATCGGGTGTCGTGGCAACTCCCGATGATCTGATCATCGGATGTATGTTAACGATACTTTACGTTGAGGTACATCAGATAGACAAAGTGAGATAACCACTTTCTCACCCAATGAGCGATGAA